GCCGAATATAATTTTGTGGTGCCACTATTTAAAAACAATCTGCAAAAAAGAAAAGTGCGATATAAAAGTACAAAATAACTATCTTGACCATCTTAGACTTATTTATCTGATGCGGTGTCATCACCAGTGTCACCACCAGGTGAAGTTGGTGAACTGTCTCCAGATGAATCTGAATCTTCACCAGATCCAGAAGAGCTGCTTGAGGAAGAGCTCCCATCCTTGAGCGGCAATTTTGTTTTGTTTGCATCACATAACAAAAGCTTGGTGGATTGACGAACAGAAGAGTTACTTTTTGCCACAGCGAGTGCAGTGGAGGTACTTGCAGATGTGGCATTGCCATCAATGTTAGGATCTGATAAGGAGGTCGCCTTCGATTTCTTTTTATTTCGATTTTTTGTCTTAAGCTTGGAGGATCGATCAGCCGAAGAGTCCCTTTTTTGGAAATTGAGTGAAGTAGAGGTATCTGCAGTCACGACAGTTCCATCAATGTTAGGACCATTTTTTTGAGAATCATTACTTGAATCCTTTCCATTTATCACTGCATTTTCTGCAACAATAAAGTGCCAATTTTATAGTAAGACTTTGTTCGAACACAAGCATAATTTTGTTCGTCCAACTTTATTTGAAATCTAACTCCGAAAAAAAAAAATCTACGAGCATAACAATTTGTCAATGACTTGTGGCTTCTACAAAACTTTCTTTTAAAATATAAAAAATTATGTTTTTATGCATAATTTATTTCTAATGAAATTAAAAAACGAAAATATGTGATTATTAGAAACATAACTTCATCACCTTCATTTCTGGAATTTTTATAGCAATAAATTATGATTTTATAAATATGATTTTACACGATTATCTAATATCATGATGCACATCAACGTTCTAATTAGCAAATTTTCTAATTCCATTTTAGAGAATCTTCTATTTGTATGAAAAAAACAATTAGTTCAAAATTTTTTATTACTTTAAAAAACCATTTAATATCATTATTATCTAATAGAGATATAATATTCAGGTTTAAATCATTCAAATAATTTATAATTCGATTATGGCTACATCAAAATGTTAAAAAATCACCCTCTGAAAAATATGGAGTCAGACAAATTGCTAATTAGACCATCGACATGATTGTTTTCCACTCATAGAATTGCTAACAATTATTATTATGTGAAAGTTCAAAGAATTGAATTGAAGATAATTTCATCATCTCAAGCATGATTTTTTTTCTTTAGAAACAAGCGACTCCTCAGTCAGTAATTTTTTATAAACGAAATTACAAAAATCGCAGTTCTCATGATTTCAAACATTTCTAATAACTACCATTTCTAAGCAAATCTAACAATTTTGTTTATCTTCAAGCTCATGCAAGGTAATTGCCTAAGAAAAAAGTGTATTTGTTTATTTGTTAAAAATTGTGGGCACTATTGTACCAACAAGCTAAGCGTTTTGTTTATGCATTCATACTTTATATCATCTCCAAATTAAAAATTTTAATAGACAAATTTCCAACGTATACATAATATTATTTGATATCACCTAAACGAGAATTATTATTTTGGAAAAATTACCTATTATTGAAAAAATATCGACACTTTCAAATATATTAACGAAATATACATTAAAAAAAAAAGTTGTTCTTACTTATTCCAACAGTTTTAGACCCTCTTTTTGGTCGGATCAGATCCGCAATTTTTTGCCGGATGTAATCTTCATAGTTATCCACTTCGTCCTGTAACTCTGATCCTTTCATATTCTTCTCGGTTTTTAAATAATATTCGTAAATGTCTACAACAAATAATATTTTTTATTGCATTTGCGGATTTTTACTTAAAAATGCTGAAAATGTATAAAAAAAAAATTATATCTTTGAACTTGAAAAAACATCAAAAGCATTACTTTCCGCTCGTAAAGCATAATAATTGACTCACAGGGATATATAGAAGCACATTGAGTTTGAAAATAGTTCGATAGTATTGAGATAGTCTGTAGTCTCTTATATTTAAAAATGCATTAACATTACCTCGAATAGCAAGAGCCTTCGTAGAATCTATAGCCGGTCTCGGCACACTTTTAGTTTTATTGCACCCTTTTCCTTTTACGCTATGTTTTTTAAGGTAATCTGTTCCGAAAACCGACACAGCAATATTTTTTACAAACATAGCCAGTGATGCTCCAGCAGTGTAGATATCGTTATCATAGGTAGCTCGTGATAACCATACTCCACGTCCCAGATGTATCTACAATTATAAATGACAGGAAGTACACGTATAACCAATAGAAAAATGTTTTTTCACATCACTTGTGAAAAAACTTCAAGCTTCAATAACTTTTGAGACATTTAAGATAAAATCTGAAAGAAAATCGGCACCTATAAATATAGATGGATATCAACTCATACAAACTCGATTTGTTTTAATATAAATTTTTTGAAATTCAACAAATATATATAAATTTTTATAAATGAATTCAAATGTTCACTGTCCAAAAACAGTACTTCTACGCTATAACTGTCTCAAATAGTCTTGTTTCTATTACATATAGACATTAAAACTCGAAGTTTTGATACAAATGATTAACTACAGGATCACAGAACGATTTTAAACTGTAGGTTACGTTAGGTATTGCTTTGCTTGAGCAGACAACAATAACCTTAGGTTAAAATCTTTTGATATTATCCGTTATCACATATGTGATATTATATAATATACCGTTGTTTGCCAATAAGTTTTATTACCATGTTATCATCGACTCGGGTGAAACCGACTTCAGGTGGCCGTTTAATATCCTTTGGATTAAGTGGAGTAGTTTGAGTAGATGTTTTGGTGTCTAAAAAAATATTTATAAAAATTATAAAACTTACAAAGCATAAACCAAGCTTGTGTTTCATTATATTGTTTGCCTTTAGTCCGATGATTTTCATAGATGATTTTTATAGAATTTTTTAGCAGAAGCTTAGTTTGGGCGTTTCCGGTAAAAATTCAAAATTTGGCCGGAAGTGCCCAATTAAATCTCCTGGTAAAAATCCTATGAATAATCAAATACATCATCTCCCCCCTAAAATATCTCAGGAAATGCCCAAACACAGCCCCTGTTAAAAGCGGAACTCAAAATTCAAACTGTAAAAGGTTCTCCACGGGAGTTACATTTTGGCACACCCTAGTACGTATGTAACCCTTTTATAACTTTTCAACGGCTTGATCGATTTCATTGCGGTTGGCGTCATTCGAAAGGGCTTGACCAAATTTATATTTAAAATACAATTCGGACCGATTCGGACTGGTAGATTTTGAGAAATCTCAAAATAAAAACGACAAAAAAAAAATTTTTTAAATGTGGTTTTTGTGAAATAACTTTTAAACGGCTAAATCGATAGATTCCAAATACTTATCAGCTCTTAACATCAAAAGACCACGTCGATTGCCGTCAGTCCGGTCAAAATCGGTTGATTTGTTCGTGAGTTATCGTTGGCGAGAAAATTCGGAAAAGGTCAATTTTTTCAAATTTCTTCAAAATTTTCGGTCTGATCAATTTGTGTCTAAAAATAAATTATAGAATTCGAAGATCTGCTTTGAATGTTACGAACCCCGTGAAAATTCGTTTATTCATTAAAGGTAATTGCAGTTTGAAAATTTAAAGAATGGTGTTTTATTGAATTTTTATCGGACTTTTGAGCTCGGGGAGTTCGAAATAACACACAAATTATATTTTTAAGCTCGAAAAGTTGAAAATCGTTATAAGTTGGAATTTTAAGCGCTTAGGTACGGAATTAGCGGGAAGTTGCAGAAATGCCCTTTCGGGTCTACCGTTTACCTAATTTTTTTATGTCGAACTGATAATTTTTGTTGAGAAAATGAATATATCAGAGATGTGCATTTGAACTGGTCAAGCAAATTATATAAATATCATTTTTAGTTTAATTAAAAATTGATTTTATTAATGAAAAATTGGTTTTAATTAAAAATTGATAACTTACTTTTTAACTGTCGCCAATTTTCATCAATTGCAGATAATTTTGACGTGGCATACTCTTGAAAATTGTTGAAATTTTCAATTAAACTAGACATTGCCTCTCTCAGGAACTTGACTTCTACTTCAACTTTTGAAGTTTCCTGAAATAATAGGAATGATATTGTTGCATTCTCAAGAAGAAATGTTTTATATCTACATAAATCTACTCTGTACATCATATAATGAAAAAAAGTTGTGAATATTTGTGTGGATCTAAGTAGATTAAACTATATAACAGAAATATACGTAGATCTAATGATAATTTATAGCTTATATTCAGTATGGTGAGTAAGTATGGTGTATGACGTACATTAAAATTTGAACTTTTTATACCTCTATGCGTCTAGAAAAAGACTAGTTGGATGTTTAAGTTAATCAGTTAACTAGCAAAAAATTATTAAGCCAATAAATTTTTCAAATTTCACGGAGGAGTAGAATTAGTTATTTAAAAACGTTGAATTTCTCGATATAATAAACTATATGCTTTCGGTGATGATTTTTATATTTTACTCCTAAGGATATATAATCTATATTCATAAAAATTAACCGCTAATACTGATCTTGAAATATTTTTGGAAGTTCAGGGAAGGTTTAAACGGTGACAGACATAAATAATAAATAACAGAAAATATTAAAAATGACAATTTAGTTTTCCAATACAAAATGTTCCTATACACAGATAAAAAAATTGACTTGACTCAAGAGCTAAACTCTTGAACCAAGAATACCATTTTGAAGAAAATGATTTTTTTAAGTCAACAGAATAAATTCTTGAGCTAAGAAATTATTCTTGGTCTAAGAAAATTTTCTTGCGTCAAGAATTTATTCGTTTGACTCAAGAAAATCATTTTCTTCAATATGGAATTCTTGGTTCAAGCGTTTGGCTCTTGAGTCAAGTCAATTTTTTTATCAGTGTATGTGAAATGAGATCCGATCTCTTTGGTATGTTTTGATTCAGAAATTAAAAAAAAAGTGTCGGTTAGTTGTCAAAAAAAAAAATTAAATTTCAAGACAATTACTAAAATCTATTATTAATTTATCAGTAAATAAAATTTTTATTTTACATTACATTTGATGTAAATAAAAATTTTGTATCAACTTTTGAACATACCGGGTCGTATAGTGTAATATAATTGAAATACCAATTGCAATTAAAAATTCAACTTACCAACATTTTCTTATCATCTTTTTTACGCTTTTTTCGCGGTTTTTCTGTCTTTGCTGAATTAGTTGATTCTTTTAGATCAGTTGACGTTTTTTGAATAGCAGGTACTCCATTTTTAGGTAGACTAGTTTCCAGCAAATCCTGGTTGTCAGTTCCTATCACTTGAGTCAACAACTGGTCACCACCCACACCGGCATCAAGTTTACGCTGTAATAAAAACATTGGGTCAAATAAGTTATTTATAAATAGCAAAGAAATTATACACGTCTGTATACAAAAAGTATTAAACTTTTTATGTAATTGATCTTACTTTTTTATTTTTTTTTGATTTTTTTTCCTTCTTTTTGCGTCGATGACCACGACGTTCAGATCGTTTCATTGCATCCGAATCGAAATCTTTATTCTCGGTTACGTCATCGACTACAATTTTCTCTTGTTCGTTGTCTATAGCATGTTCATGAGAAAATGGAGGCGTACTTACAATTCCTATCTCACTCGTTGTCTCTGCTAAATCCTACATTAAAAAAAGAAAAAAAATTATTATCATCAAAAAATAATTATAGTTCAAGCCACATCATTCTAATTCATGCAAATCAGTATTAATACCTTAGCAGATTCTTTTAAGGTATACTTGAATTTTTGTTCCAATCGAGTGTCGTTCAAAACTTTTAGTTTCTAAAATTGTAATAATTTATAAGTACGACATTGCGTTATAATTATTTATTATATAAAATATACAAAGATAAAAACAGTGAGGGTCAAGATTGATAAAAATCGAAGTTGATGATAAAGAAAGCAATTAAAAAATTAGATTTCGGGCTGAAAATTATGTAAGGATAGTATAATCCATATTATTGTAATTAAAATTTTCGTAATAATGAGATTGTCATATTTGTAAAAAGTGAATATTACAGTATAAAAAACTTTTTACCGTCACGCTATAAAAATTGACATTAAGATTATATTTTTATTTAATGAAAATATAAATACAACGTGACTTACCTTTGGGCTTGTATTCTTTGGGTCGTTCTTAGGAATGTTCAAGTCTTTCTCCATTACTGTAGCTTCATCATTGGACATACTTTCAGCCTCGACTTGACTTCCTTTTGGATCAAAATGCAAATTACTTGCATTTTGACAGTTTTCCTTAGTTTCGGTAAAATTTTTCTCCATTTCCTGTAACAATATTCTATTAATATAATTATACAAACTAAATCGAGAAATAACGATTTACCGACGATATTGATGTTGCGATATATAAGTACACTGTAAACATTTTCTATTAAATTTTACTATTGCGCATTGTGTCGTTGGACTACAGCGACACTGATCACAATTTTATTAATTGTATATATTAAATTAGAATATGTTCCATTGTATATGTTTGCGTATTAGTCATAAATTACGAATATTTCTTTGTCTTTGCTCTTATAGCAAAATATTGTTCTATGTACTAAAAAAATTAATAAAAACACTAAGAATTTGAGCACTTCATTTCAATTCTAACTACTTTATTTTCAATTTTAAAAATTTTTCTTTCAGTCTTCTTAGTATAATTTCACACACTCATTTTTCGAGTAACTATTTTGGACGGGTTCAGAAAAAAATGAAATTAATCAATTACTTTAGAGATGATGGTCACTTTAATTTTCTTAAATCATCGAAAACACAACTACTATGATTTCTTTCATAAATAACTTCAGAAAATATAAAAAGATTATTTATTTTTGAAAAAAGCATTTCCTAAAACTGATAAAATTATTCTTAAAAATAAGGTATTCATCTTTTACTTTATCACTATGTTCATTACATCAAATTTTAAAAATTAAAACAAAGTAATTGATAATTGATCATTTTTTCAAATACAAATATTGTGAACCTTCAAAAATCACTCATAATAATTACAAAGTAATAGTTTTATAAGTCAAATTAAAGATTTTTTTCTGGGAACAGTAGTGCTTAACTTTCAAAAAGATTACCCGTTTATAAATTACCACGACTATAATTAAAATTAGTTGAGATACAATATACTCGTTGACTTTTGAAAAATTCGTCCAAAACTGTAGCCGCACTGATAGAAGGATTTGTTTATAGTTAAAAATACTTGTTAATATTGAACAAATCATTTATTAGAGATCACTTTTTAGTCCTTAACAAATATTTCTTAGTATTTAAGAAGATTTATTAATATTTAATAAATGAATATCAGATTTATTAAATACAAACAAATCATTTTAAATACTAAGAAATATTTGTTTAATACTAAAAAGCGGTGTTTAATAAATAATTTGTTAACTATTAACAAATATTTTTTAATACAAATAAATCCTTCTATCAGTGCGCGATCCCGGTAATATGCCGCGTTATATTGTATACATATATATAAAATTTTTCATCTGTACTTGACTATATCAGAGATATTATCAATACCTTGATCAAAAAAATATATTTAAAAAGATTAACTCAGTGACAAATGTACACTGTAAAAAATTTGCGGAGTGAACGCGGAGTGAATGAGGAGTGAATGATTTTTAATTGATTCACTCCCAGCGGGAGTGATATTTACTCCGAGAAGGAGTTAATTTTTATTAATAATAAAAATTCAACTCCGCACACTCCCAAAATAAATGAATTTAGAAATAAATAAATTTTTGTGAAGAAAATATTTTTATAAACCTTTTTTATATTTAATTATTAAAAAT